CTCTTCCCCTGGGCCTGCGGGTCGCACTCCGACGTCCTGGCCGCGCGCCTCTTCAGGCTGCTGGATGAGAATGGAGACCTGCTCATCAACTTCAGGGAGTTCGTCGCGGGGCTGAGTAAGGAGAGCTCACATCCTCCCCACAGAGTCTCCTCCCCACGTTGTTCACTCGAATCCTCTGACCAGAGCAGTTTGGTTCTAAGGGGATCCAGTCGTTCAGAAACACCTTGTATCAGCTGCCAGTTGGCATAAGTCACTTTTGTTTTCAGAGCTGTTCAGTTTCTCATGCCTGTCACAGTGGTTCCCACTGGGGTTTAGGCTGGTCTCAGTAGGCGCATCTACATTAGCCATAGATGATCTTTCGAGGTCCCTTCCAACCCCTATGATTCTATGATTCTGTATCCCACTGGGAGAAGGGCCACATGTGGACCACACCTCACTGGAGTCTGAGCATTTCCCTGCCTGCTAGCTCCCAGTGTGAGAATGCCCTGCAGCTTGTGAGCTTAGTGGTGTGAGTACTTCTAATCACAGTGTTTCCTTTGGGAAGGTCTTTTGCATGTTCTTCTATAGCATTTCTGTCTTGGTGACACTGCAGTTTGTTACCTGCTCCTTAAGCTTCCACTGAAAGTTGGGAATTTGTTCCTGTGAAAGTTGACCTTTTGTCAGTGCTGCCAGCTCTGGAGAGGGGAGAGAGGCAGCATTGAATCCCTTGGTTGTTCAGGAAGAAGGCTTTTAAGGGATATATGGGCACATCTAAGGGGCAGGGAAAGCACAGAGTGAGGATGCAGGTTTTGCTTGCCCCTGGAGAAAGTGCTCCTCTTTAGAAGTCCCCTTGGTTGTTCAGGAAGATGACTTTTAAGGAATATATGGGCACATCTAAGGGGCAGGGAAAGCATAGAGTTTTTGCTTGCCCCTGGAGAAAGTGCCCCTTATTAGAAGTCACAGTATATGCAGTGCAAGTTCTGCCTGTGTTACTTCTGAAGTTGATAACCAAGACTGTAGGTCTTGAGAGAGCAGGATGGAAATCACCAGAAGAGAAGAAAGTGGAGGTGTGGGTCATCTGGGGAGGCTGAATATTTATTTAATTAATCAGAAAGAAGGGCTACAACAGACCACTTTTGATTTCATACACCTAAGTGTAGTGTAGACCAGAAAGGAACAGGGGTTGAGGTGTATCAATCACTAGAAAGTATTGCCTGTACATCAGCTTAGCCTATGGCCAAGCTGTGATAAATGCTGTTTACTTAAATTTCTCTCTTTGTTTTTGGTAAATATCTTGTTGTGAATCATGTGGTGTTATTATTGGATCCTCAGCTCAGAGAGTTTGAAGTCCACACAGAAAGGTCTTATTAACTTTCAGCTGCAGGCCCTTCTGAGTGGTAATGTGACGTTCATAGATTATTTTTGAGGGTTACAAAATAGCTATGTATTGAAGGACCCAAAGCTGAAGTACTAAATTAGGGTTAGGTGGTCTGTGTTCTCTTCTTATTTCTACTGGAGACCGGATGATCTTGGAAGTCAAGTGACTGCCTTATGATCTCAGGGCATAAAGGGAGTGCAGCACTTCTCAGAGTGAACATAGCAGCTTCTAAAATGAAATATTAGAGCAGTAACAAACAGGCTTTGAATGCTGAGTGCTGACATGCTGTCTGTAATGCTGTTTAGGTGCAGCATGCCATGGGGATCTCACAGAGAAGCTGAAGCTACTGTATAAAATGCATGTTTTGCCTGGTAAGTAAATGCTGTTAAAATAGCTGTCCTCTTGTTGAGAACAGCAACTGGGAGCAGAGTTGTTTAGATTTCCCAATTAAAAATTAATTTGTGGGAATTATTGTAGCTGTTTGGGCAGCAGTTAAATTGAGAGGGCTTTTACCATAACCAGACTTGGAGTGGGAAAGTCTGAAAGCACCCATGAAGCCCTGTATTGCTGTGGCCCCCAAAAAGCCCATCTATCTATGTCTCTTGCCTGCTTAGCTGAGGTTGGTGCCTTCCCCCATGCATAATAAATACATGATCTTCAGCATTTGTAACCATAATGTACTTTATTTAATAGTGAAGCTAGCTTAAAATGTTCCTGCATGCCCAGGCTACTTGTTTCTGACCCCAGGTTTGTTCCTGGTTTCTCCTCTGGGCTGGTACAGCTGTTTGCAGAGGGGGAGCTCCAGATCATTTCATAGATGTTTTCTCCAGGCAGCTGCACAAAGCGTTGGACTCAGCTGAGTGAGAAAGAATTTAGGGGGAGAGGGGTTGGAAACATCTCCAAACAGTTTTACTTCTGAAGAAAATGTTGCCCTGGGGCTGTACCTTCTCTGGCTTGTTGCACATGTGCCAGAAAGAACCTGTTGCTGTCCTCACTGAATCTGATGTGTGTTGCAGTTTGGGTAGTTCCAGTCTTGTGCACATCCTTTGGTAAAGAAACCTGAAAGCTTTGAGAGGACAGGCACCTTCATGTGCTTCCAACACCTGTCCCTGGCTGCTCCCAGCTAGGTTTGCTGGAGGTTTCCTGAGGGATTCACTAATTTAACTGGGGAAAAAAAAAAAAACAAACATTTTCTTGAACTGTAACAGAAGAAATCCATTTTTAAGAATGCAGCTTCTGGTTGTCAGGACCTGGTGAGATGATGCTGAAATATGACAGGCTGTTGGCAGCTGGAAGAGGGTTCGTGCCCTGCTTAGGGCATGCAGAGCCAGGCAGAAGGAGGAGATGGAGCTAGCCATGGGGAGATGGGCCAGCCAGCCTCTGGAGGCACACAGCTCCTGGCTAGTCAGGCAGCACTGGGGCTGGGGGAGGAGACACAACAGGCCCAGTGGGTCATCTCCTGTGAGCTGAGAAGAGATGATCCTGAACCCATCACATCTTCACGCTCGCTTCTAGAAACAGACCTCCTGAAAGCATCCATAGAAATATGTTCTAGCTGCTAATGAAATGATGGAATTCTAAATGAAATGATTTTATTGTATTGCTTAGATCCATCCCCTGAGCAAGAAGAGCCAGACTCAGCTTTCGAAGCTACTCAGTACTTTTTTGAAGACATCACACCAGAGTGCACACACGGTAGGCATCTGTTGTGTCAGGAATGAGCAGATGAGGAAATGCATTTCAAATATTCCATTGGGTTGAACTTTTTAAGTGAAGTCTTCTGTAAGAAGAAGCATGTAGCCTTTGTCTGTGCTTTGATATCCTTTCTTTCTTGAGATATTTGATGTTAAGTTTCTGTCTGATTCAAAGAAAATATTGCCCATCCTTCAGGTGACAGGGGGAGGGAAGGTGGTTTGAAAAATACAGTTCACAATTAAAAGACCAGAGGTGGCAATTTTAAGTCCTGATAAGACAAAAGAAGATGCACAAATATATATATCATGCTAGAAGCTGTTTCTGTTGTGGTACCGCAGGCTACTCCTTGTACTACAGAAACAAAGCCTCACATGGTCCCTGTCTTAGTATTTATATTATTAATTACATGGAATTCGTCAGCAGACTGAAGAGCAAACAAAAATCATTTAGTCCAATTTTTAGTCTGCATTTTCTGGAGTGTAAACATATTGTTTATTTTGCACTGTACACATGAAAAGTATGTATGTATCCAAAACCACACTGATGTCTCTCTCCCCCCACCCTTCACTCCATAGTTGTTGGTCTAGACAGCAGGAACAAACAAGGAGTAGATGATGGGTTTGTGACAGTGAGTTTGAAAACAGACAAAGGTATGCACTGTGTCCCTATTTGGATTACATCCTTCAGTCCTTGTAAAGATGCTCCTTTTGAAAGTGGGGGGAAAAAAAGTATTAATTGAAGGTTTCTTCATGGGCTTTTTCCTGCATCTCTGGGTAATCTGTTGACAACAGGCAAGAGGAGCTCACAAGAGAATCGAAATTATCTGAGAATGTGGAGCCAGGAGAACAAATCCAAAGCAAAAAACACAAAGGAATTGCCCAAACTGAACCAGGTACTTCTGTTGACACATACTTGGTTTTTGTTAGCTTTCATACCTATAAATATTCAGTAAGTGAACTCTGAAGAGAGGGTTTATCTTGAGGCAGATAATCCTTTACCAGAGCAGCAGTCAGCTGATATGGGAAGTTAGTTGTTTTCAACACACTGTAACTGGTCTTCAGCTCTCAGCACATCCTAAAAATGAGATAAGCCCACACAGGAATGAGAACATATTATTTTGATCCCTAGATAAATGGTAGTATGATTCTGAATATCACCAGCTGGCTCAAACTGTCCAATACACGTTACCTGAGAGAAGTGTTTTATGTTTTACCATTTTTCCTGTGGGTGTCATTCCCCTGAGGGCCAGAGCTGCTAAGGAGGAGTCCCACGGGGACAGCTCTTTCCTCCAGA